GCTTTGACATCCGCCGGTATAAATTTTTCACCCGGAAGCATTCGATCCGCAGTGGCATCAGCTAGGCGGGATAATAACTTGCCTCTAGATTCCATAATTAAGTGTGGCAATTGAAGACTCCGGTGCAAAAAGGGGGTAGCTCCATTTTAATGAATTTTTCAGGAGACAGTAAAAACTATTTTAATTGAAAAATTGTGATTTTTTTGTTTCTGTGCAAAAAGGAGGTTGTAGTTTAGCTGACAATGAATAAGTAATATGAATATCGAAAAATGAAAAGCCTTTCAGTAAGATACTAAAATTAGAAAAAAAATGGGGAGTTGTCCCCTTTTTGCACCGGATGGTAAGTTAAATTATATTTACGAAATCTAAAGCGTTAATTAATTTCAAAACAATGCTTTTTTAAGTATTTTTATTACAAAAAGTGTTCCAAAAGTAATACTTAGTAATAGTAAATACATACAACAATAATCAGTTATCTGTAAAACTGTCTTCTGACTGGTTAGGCTGCTCTTCCCCTTGGCATCTAAGTCCATTGTAAAACCACATGCAATCTGCTGGGACGTACTTCGCAGCTAGTTCTTTCACTTGCAGATACTTAGCCTGCTTGAGCGGTAAGGGACCAGAGTATAACCGAGATTCGGGACAGGGTAGTGTCGGAGTTACCCCAGGTTTCTGAAGAGTGAACTCATCTTTGTAGGAGACACTAGCAGAGCTGCTGCATTCAACACCCTTCTCTGAGTATTCGATAACGCGGTAAGAAGAGATTGAAAATTTTTGTTTCCGGTTGTTAATAACAGACTTTTTAAAAAGTTTATTGAAGTGATCACTGAAGTTTAAAATGGTTTCTTGGGTAACTGGAACTATTTCAAATTTTCGACACGTATTTTTTACCAGAGCAACCCATTCTTCTGGTAATACAATCCGTTCTCTCTTTCTCTTCTCTTTTTCTATTAATCCAAAACTGCGGTCGCAAGGAAGAAAACTATGACCTGGTTCTGGATATCGGTGTATTATTCTGGAAAACCTTTTATTTATGGCAATGGTAGAAAAATAGTGAGCCAAGGTTTGATTCTTGTTCTGCGAAGAACAGTTATCAGAGTACATGAATAATTTTGTTATAGTTGTTGGCACGTAATGATCAATAAAGTAATGGAGAAAGCTGACAACGTCGTTTTGTCCTTTTTTTGCGACTGTTTCATCGTACATGAAAAAGTAGGATTTTCCAGTGCTACCTAGAAAAACACAAAAATTATATTCCCAAAGCTGGCGTTTGAAAAATACGTCACCACTGGATACATGGGGAACAGGCATATTTTGTTGATAGTCAAATGCTAATAACTCGGTTTGGTTGTTACTCATCTTGACCTCGGCGATATCTTTTCTTAACTGTGTATAGAAGTAGTTAGCTTTTTTCTGATGCACCTCTTTCTCAACTTTCAGATTTTTCTTTACTTCCTCATTCTTTTCTGCTGAGATGAGATTGTCTAATCTATCACACGTTTGACATGTATCAGAACGTGGTTTTCCAAAAGAGTAGTTATAGTTTGTGACAAAGTGTCGACAAAAATAGTCATAGGTAACTTGAGGTTTTTCTTGTTGACCATTTTCGATTGCAGCATGGATATCGGGTTCATATTTTTTGAGGTACAGTGTGTGCATTTTCTTCATATTCAGTTCTGGATTCAAATAATATTTATTTTCATTTTTAGTGCGACTATAATGCGATGTTCTCTTTGGAAAAGACTGGATGTGTGAATCAATTTGATGTATTATGTTCTCAGGAATCCTATTAGGGCGATTGACATGCTTACCACGCATATCTCTAGGACAGGAATATTATCTTGTAAATGGCTAACAATCAGCTCTACTCGTTTTTTACTTATACCATAAAGCGAGCAAAAACCTTTTTTGCATACTCTTTGTTCAGCTGTGCCAATTTTTATAGTGTACACACAAGAACAAGATCGTTTTGGCCCCCCACCGGACTTTGGTCTCTGTCTTTCAACTTTTTTTACCCTTATTTGCCCTCCAATAAAAATATCCTGCTTTTCTTTAGTTCCAATTTCGTTAAATATTCTTAAAATTTCGAGCTTACCAGAATCGTCAAATTTTTGGAAGCATTTAAATTTGCAACTGCAGTCTCTACCAGTTTTTCTTTCTTCTTTGGCACATTTATTCTTGTTTTTCACACCCAAATATGGCTTTCCTTCCGCTCTCAGTTTCTTGGACACGTTTCTTTTCCATTTACTTTCATCTCTGACACGTTTTTTGCAAAGTTTTTGAGTTTTATTTTGAGTTTCTTGCTCAGTCATTGGAACTTTATCACTTTCCGAATCACTTTCGACCAACGCTGATACCTTAGCACTTGAATCAAACACAGAAAAACGCCTGACACTCGGTCCAGGGTCATCCGGATTAAAATCAGAATCCTGGTCTGAATCATCAAACTGTTCATTCGGACTGTCACTGCTTGACATGTTTTACAAACCGTTATACACTTCAAACAACACGAAAGTTATTTTAATATAGTAAAACTCTTTAAACACCAAACTGACTATTGGCTACTAGTAAAAAAAACTGGCAGACGTTCTATTACTGAGTATCTAGAACGCACAAGACGTCTTAATTTTACAGAATAATAACAACTAGGTAAACTAAGTGTCACTGTCTACCGGTTGCCGATCGCAATGTGAAATACTGGTCTGCATCGAAGCGGGAAAACAACAACTAATTCGATGCAAAAACGAGGTAGCTCTGGAGCTGCCTCCTTTTTGCACCGAACCTTTAAAGGGTATATAAGTTCATCCCATATAACATCTAAACGAATCAATGGAGCTGCCTCGTTCTTGTACCAGTCGATGGAGTGACTTCTTGTTCCTATTTTGCTATATAAAAGTGAAATTCGTAAAAAACGGAGCTACCCCCTTTTTGCACCGGAGTCTTCAATTGGAGAGGCCAGTCTAATGTTTTTAAACACTATTTTAAGGAAATTCAAAGAAATTCGAACAAGTCTGATTTATTATGTGATAAGTCATTCGTTCCTATATAACAGAGTTTGTTTATTCTTGTAGTAAATTCTAGAGTTTAAGTTACTTTATTCGGTGTTTATATTTAAGCAACGCCAAGGTTTTCGTTTCGTTTTATAAGAGTTTTGAGATTTGTTAACTTTGCTAATAAGTTTTATTACTGTTACTACATTAAGATTGCATTAAGGAGAAAATACAGACTTAAGTACAATTTACTGTCTCAACATATTTTTCTTTTGACCATTCACAATACGCTATTATAGTCAATCTGTCGTCAGAATCCAAACACTTCTCACAAGGGTCAAGCCGACGGCACAGACCCTAAAATAGAAACGTTTTTCCCCGAAGGGTTAAAAACGTATATTTTAGGTCATGCCTAGGCTTGACCCCATTAAGTGCTTGACGACATACCTTGTTGAAAGTGTACTGATGTCACACAACGGCTGGCGCGCGGCCGGAAGCCAGGAGATGCCGGGGAACTGTGGAGGGGGAAGTGAGAGATGCGCGCGGCCAACCGTATTAGACGACAAGGGAGGGGCAAAGGGTAGGTTTAGGATGAATATTCCGAGGCGGGGTTAAAAAGGTAATCTCACAAGGGTCAAGCCTAGGCAAGACCTAAAATATTCGTTTTTAACCCTTCGGGGGAAAAACGTTTCTATTTTTCTTAACATAGCCGCTTGAAGCGATATTTATATTTTTGGTAAATATTTTCACTACGCCTCTGGTGTGTCCTGTGGTATCATACTAATTAATTACAAAAAAATCGTATTAAAATGTTAACAATAGGTACAAAACTAGTATCGACGTATATCACATATCAAGTACATATAATATTAGAAAAATAATTATCGAATTCAATAAAAAAAAACGCTAAAAAGGTGTAGTGGACTGTTTATTTCCCTATAAAACGTAACTTCTGGATCTTTCTTATCATTGCACCTTTTACACTTGAAAGCTGAATAAATTATCATTGTAATAAAGTTTATACAAAGTTCACTACACACAACCAACTATTAAAAATCGCTAAAATTGTCGCTAATGAACAGCTGATGATTCATTCTACTAAATATGAATGTCCAAAAAAATGGCGTCTAAAGATCACAAATTTTGCTGCAGCCCGTATATGACCGTTACATGTCCTTGTATTCTTTAGTCATTGGTTTTTGTAGTTTTTGTACTCGTCCTTTATCTTTCCTTGTCTAAGGATATTATTCCCAATATAAGTATCAATCGTACGCCACTGGTCAAAGGGAAGTCGGCCATATTTGAGTCCCATCGCATCAAGTTTTTTGATAATTATGCTCCTTCCTTAATCTTTTTATTCAAAGTATGTATGTTTTTAAGATATGTTTTTACTTTGTGAACTTTATACCATTTGATTTTATAATTTGACTATTTCTCCGGGATTGTATCCGTAATGGAAATCCGGGATCCCGGACAACATACCTAAATTCGGGAATTTCCCGGAAATACCAAACATCAATTCTAGATGAGACAGATTTAACGAGAAATCGAATATGCTAGGCGATTCTAGGCCGTAGGTACTTTATAATTATATTATGATAATTACATGACTTAGTGATTTTTTTTTAAAAATCGTTGTTTAAATTTATGCAATATTTTTCAATTTTACATATTTATTACTCAAAAATTTAAACCGCCAAAAAAACAGTAGCCGCTAGAAATTTTTTCCCGCTAAACGAAAAAAAAAATACGCTAGATATAACGAGTATGGCCAGAAAACCGCTAAGTTGGCAACAGTGCCTATATGATATTACCCACAGAACAAATAACTTAAAAATTTTTACAATTATTTAACCACAGACGCTGAATTTAATATGCGACCACAGACACCGACAAGCTCATGTCTGCACTCTGCAGTTACTTTTATTCAAGGGATATTGTAATGTTGTTTTCTATTCTATGGGTAGTTTTCAGAGTTTGTCAGTTTGACGTTTTATTTTTATTGTTTTATTTTGTATTTTGTCGGGTCTATATTTTCAATAAGTTTTCAATATTCTGTCTTGAGTCTTGAAAGACGAATGGAAAGATGTTTTAATTTTAATAGTTTTGAAGTGTTTATTTTTGCAAACAATTATAAAAGCTATTCTGTAAAATAATTAAGTTTCTGGGCTTAGTCCTTAAAATGTTATTTTTATTTTATTCGTCTCAAAGTGAAAAAATACTAACGCGTCGTAATTATTTGAAAGTTTAACAAAGCTTGTGCGTGGCTAGGTGAATGGGTGACTGATTTCTGGCCTGGAGAAGAAGGGCAATTGATTTTAAGTATGGTGCTTTTTGCTTTTAACAGAAGAATCTCATTTTTCTTTTAGTGCCCATGTTTAAGATGTAGAAATTTGTGTTGAAAGAATGTTTGAAGATATAAGATAGGTACCTCAATAAGTTTGCAATTGTAAACCTCAATAAGTTTGCAATTGTAACCATGCACAGGCATTGTATTCTACATCCACAACCTAAGCAAGATTTGTGTTCCACATCTTTGTATCGGTAATTACAAGTAATAAATATAAATAATCTTAAAAGCAATGACATAAAAAAAGTATAGGTCAGGGATATTAATCATTTTTTAAAAAGATATCAATACCTTACTTTGAAAACCTGGTAAGTTCATTTTTTTGCAAAAATATTTATAGTCTATTTCGATAAGGACCTCAGCCTATTGTATACTATTGTATTTTATCTCAGGACAATTTTTTTTCATAATTAATAGAAATAGAGCTCACTGGAAGAAGATTTTTTTCCAAGGTTTTCAACTCATACTTAATATGTTGAAAAGGTGTTATTTAACTGCCATAACATTTTTTTCCTCTGCAATATTTTTCAAAAATTTGGTGAAATGTTTCAAGTTAAATAATACTCCTTTCTACAGTCTTTTGAAAGTGAAATAACGTGGATATTTAATAAAACTACTTTTGTTTTAGATGGGTTAGACTATTGTGTTTATTTCTAGAGAGATTTCTAGTTTCTCTAGTTATAGATACAGATTAGATGATTAGAGTACAAATGAGTTGAAAAGGATTTTAGATCTACAAAGAAGGTACATGTTATCGTAAGAAAAGAATTTCATAATTAATAATTGAGATTCAACCTATAAATTGTTAAACATTAATAGAAATACAAGATTATGATAAAAGGTACTACTAAATATGAATGAAGTTGGTTGGTTTTTCATCTTTCTACTGTATATTCTAATGGATTTGAAAGTGGTTAAAGTTCACTGTCTCTATTCTCAAAAAAAAATGTTTAGAAAAATTAAGTGTTATCAGACTTATCAGATAATATTAACTTTGATCATTTATTTTGTCCTATGTTTTAAAAAGCAATGATTTTTTTATTTTTGAAGATTTGAATGGAATGTCATTATAAAAATCGGTTTTAGTCACACACAGAAGTCTATTAATCTTTCACTCTTTGTATATCAGAAATTGAAAATCTATATATTTCTATAGGTCTGGTGGCAATTTTGAATATCGACCACTTGTTTTCTTTTCCATGTTTTAAGGTTTAAGAAGAACATTTTTCAGAGATCAAGATATAGGCACACCAGTTTGAAAACTTAGTGTATGCGAGAGGCTGCAATATGAGATCAGCAATTTCCTTAAGTGTTTGAGTTGGAATGTTATGCTGGATTCAGAGTTCCGTAGCCGTAAGACGTAAGCCGTATCGTTAAGACGTAAGGGATATCGACCTTCACAATCATATGATTGCGTTCATAGATCTCCGTATGCCGTAAGACGTAAGAAATGAACCAATTTTAATTCTTACGTTACGTCTTATCGAATCGGCTAGGTTCGGTGGTACTCGGTAGCCATTTCTACAACTTTTATAATATATTTCACAGATATTTCACTTCGGCAACGAAAATATAATTGTCCGTGTCCATTTTAGTTCAATTAAATTAATAATAAAATAAATAAGGAGTCACAACATTCACAACCCAAACAACAACATAACCTATTAAAAACGGTAATGCGCACGCTTACGATGAAGTTATCGTTACGTCTTACGGCAACTATGAATTGCTTTCCCTGCGTCTTAAGTCTTACGGCTAACGATACGGCTTACGTCTTACGGCTACGGAACTCTGAATCCAGCATTACTGTCTCTAACTGATTTTTTATCCTTTAATCATTTTATAATTTGATTTGTTTTAGATGGAACCATTCTTGAAACTGGAAATGTATACCTTCGGGAGTGTTTTTGGTATCTGCACAAGGACAAGAAATTACAAAATAACTGTTAAAGGAATTTACAATTTGCAATGGACATATGTATGTATTTACAATTTTTTAACAAAGTAAAATTTTTTATTCTTGTTATTTAGGTCCTTAAATACTGTATAGTAGGTATGGCGACACTTGTGCCAGACAGACAACCGATATAGGTCAATAGGAGTATGATGTAAAACAGATAAGAATGTTCAAAATATGCTACCACAAGAATAAACATGTTTAGACAAGAACAACAATTTAAAAACAGACAAACCACTCTAAAAAAAATAAATAAAACAGACTTGTTATTTTAAGCATTTTGGTGGTTGCTTTCTGTTTTTAAGTGGTTGTTTCTTGTTTAAACCTGTTTATTTTTGTTTGTTAGCGTAGGTATTTTGAATGTTCTTAACTGTTTTACGTCATAATCCTATTGATCTATATCGGTTGTCTGTCTGGCACAAGTACACTACTCTGTATGTCCCTGATTGTATTTACAAGAGAAAAAACTTTTGTGTTTTTAAATTTTTGAGAAAAATTCATTCTCCATAAAAGATTTGTTTGCTCAATTTTATTGTTAATCTCGTTTATACTTTTACAAATTTCCATAGTGTTTTAAAGAAAAATATGCAAATATAGTTTGGGCTACCAGACGTCCGGATTAATCTAAACCAAACCAAACCCCACTAATATTCAGTTTAAATTAGGTTTTTGATGATACTTTGATGATATTTTAAAAAAATTAAACGAGCCTTAATATAAATATTATTCCCGAAAAGTCCACTTGCTTGGATTTGGCGGCGGCGCCGGGCCAGAGGGTTGCAATTTTTATTATATTATTGTGCCACCAGCAAATCCTATAAGAAAACCTACTCTCGGTGTCATAGTTTTAACATGTCTGCAAAATTAAGTGAAACCATACCCATACCACAGTGCGTAACACATAAAACTTTATTCCATTTTAACATTATAAAAACATAAAAAAAAAACATTACCTACAGGGTCCGGTAATAGTGCGTCGGGCATCTGTAGCTCCTAGAATAAAAAACTTGGAAATTTTGTTTAAATGCAGACCTAAAGTATGAACTAGGATGTATTTCAGGAAAATATTTAACCTCTATAGGGTGGCTCAAAAAAGTGTGAGTGGATTGGGATGACTTTTTTTAAATGGAACACTCTGTATATTATTGCATTTTTGGTTTACTTTTATATCTCTTTGCATAATCCTAAGATATGAGTAAATATGTTTTGATAGTTTCAAAGATATTAATAAATAAATAAAAAATGTATTTTTTTTCAGCCTTTCTTAAAAAAAATATTAAAAATACAAGAACTGCCCTGAAATCAAAACTAGGTAATGGTGTGGATCCGGTGGCTGACCTTGAAACGAGTTTTTGCTGCATATAGTCACAGACACTACGCATGCGCACATCTTCGATGTTGCCAGATTGCAAGTTATTTTGGAATTATTTTCAGTAGAAAACAAATATGTGCTTTTCAGTGTTTTTTTGTCAATATATACAGTATGATCGAAAAAACGGCGTCCAGTTGGCTGGGAAATGACGATTGAGGACATTTCCCATATAAAATGGCAGCGATCTTCATCATAGTACGCGCGGTATATCATTTATATTATTATTTTAATATTTCGCACAACACGTGAAACATGAACGTTTATTATGTATTTTCATAGTCAATAAAATTAAATAGAAATAAAATTCTAGATTCCTATAATTAATCTAATTGCTCTAGAATTATTATGCTACGTTTAAAAAGTGCTTTATTAAAAATTCAGGATATGTGTCCAAGTTTTTTCTTTTTTTTTAATTTTTAAATGCTGTAGCTCCATGTCATGTTCATAATAGGTTTTTTTTAACATTCCATTAAAACTACGGAGGCCTTAAAAGGCCTTTTAGCCTCCGTAATTAAAATTGTAGAATCAGCTTCAGCAACATTAACAGTTACCTTGTTTAATTCTGCTTATACATATATTGCATTAATTTTTCTGCTACCTTAAGATTTCTCTATTCTTACACCAAATTTATGTGATTTTCTTAGCATAATATGATTTATAAACCATATTTTTCCTAATGGAAGGATGGAATAGGATATGCAGAATTAAGATATTTTAACATTTATTTTCCAGACAGAGCATAATATAGTATTAAGATTAAGACATAACAAATATTATAAGGAAGATCTTAATATAAATCACAAACTAATTACAAACTAATCTTAATTTGGTCTTGTATAAACACAGGTATAAAACTAATAAGATCAAAACTCAACCTTCACAATATTGTCAAGATTTGGCATTATAGGAAGCAAGAAATTACAGTAGGTAATATTAAATACTGTAATGTATTCTACGACACAAACCGTCTCCCTTCTAAAGAGAAAAAGATAAAACATAAAGCTTATTTTAGTCTTATCAACACACTCTTCGATAAAATATATGTCTAAAATTGCTATTAATCTACTAACTTGATATTTTTAAGAAATTATGATACAAACATTATAATCAAAGTATATTATATTAGTAACATTATAAGTAAGATGTTACCTCTATCTCCCATTGATGTGTATTGTTCTATAAGACTCGTCATGGTAGTATTTCAAAACATCAATACATATAATCAAAACTATCGTTGCCTGTAAATAACTAGAAATTAAATAACTTGAAAGAAATAAAATAATTCTAATAAGTTTAAAACCATTAAAAAAATCCGTACATGATAATTTTTAATTCTAATGTAAATATATAAATAAATGTTATTTATTATTACAATTTTATATATTCATAATACTTTCATTTCACAATCTTCATTATCCTTCTTACCTTAATTTTGGATATCAAGATAAATCTGAAATTATAAAATTAATTATAGAATTTCTATTATTATTGATTAACACTCCAAAAAAAATTTTCAACTGCAAATAATTCGAAAATAAACTGCAATTTGGCAACATCGACGATGTGCGCTTGCGTAGTATCGATGATCGAATGCAGCAAATATAGGCTTCAAGGTCAGCCACCGGATCCACACCTTTACCCAAAACTATATTAGGTATTTACTTTAGATGGTCTGTACTTACTTTGCTATAATTATGGTAATTCTAAATCATAGAGATTGTTCAAAATTCGATGGCAAACTTTTTTAAATATAAAATAATTTTTCTTTGTTTTTTTTTAAATGGAACACCCTGTATATTATTTTTTTTAATAGATGGAGAATTAAAAAATGAACATTTTTTGTATTTACAGTATTTCAAAAATTTTAACGGTTTCGTAGATATTCGCAATTTTATATTTCATCTAGCATTTTCCACAGTAAATTTTTATCAAAGCCACCCAATGATTTTTCTCTCGTTTTTAACCGTTGAAAGAGCCATATGAAATAATACTGCAAAACCATTAAAAATTTTGAAATACTTTAAATATAAAAAATGTTTATTTTTTAACTCTCCATCTAACAAAAAAAATAATACACCTACAGAGTGTTCCATGTAAAAAAAAATAAAAAAAAATTATTTTATATCTTAGAATGTTTGACGTAGAATTTTGAACACCCTGTATGATTTAAAATTATGATATTTATAGTAAAAGTAAGTATAGACCATCTAAAGTAAATACCTAATATAGTTTTGATTTCTGGACAGTTCTTGTATTTGTAATAACTTTTTTAAGGAAGGTTGAAAAATATATATTTTTTAATTATTTATTAATATCTCTGAAATTATCGAAATATATTTACTCATATCTTAGGATTATGTAAAGGATTATGAAACCATCCATACTACATTGCGTAAATACATAAAAGTGAAGTATTTATGTAACAATATAAAAAAATAAAATAATAATTAAAAAAAATAGGTATTAAAGATATTATAACTTTATTTCATTTTAATATTATAAAAACAGAAAAAATGAACATTATGAAATAGATATAAAGTAATATAAAAAATAACAAAAAAAATTACTAAAAATAATAACACATTATAAAGTATATAAAAAGATTTGAACTCTTATTCGTTTTTTGCCGGAACATGGTTGACTTTTGGAATTTCTAATTTCTGTGATCAAATTCCTCCCACTTGTTATTATGGCGAAAACAATAACAAATAAAATGTCCAACTCCTTTTGTTGGCCCTACATATCCAATTACTCCTCTCAAGATATTTTTTCTAATCGCCTTATCTCTTTTAGGGTAGCTGTGCAAAAATTGGAATTGGTTGTGCAAAATTGTACAGTGTGTCCCATTTTGGTTGAAATTATACGGTATCTCCGTTATTAGTGAAGATAGAAGGTGTCCCACTTTATTGTCAAACGAAATATGCTGTAAACAAAATTTTCATAGCCCTCTTTGTTTCTGAAGTTATTCTATATTCTCTTTGTTTCTGAGTTAATTTATTATCTGTTATTGTAGAACTTTTTACGGAGAATACAGTGGCGTAGTCTGTTATTCTACGAAAATAATATTTTCGAAGATATGAACTAAAGTAAGAATTTTTTAAACGGAACACCCTGTATATTTATAAATTATATTATTTAGCTTGCTATAAGCTTCTCAAAAATATATATCACTCTATATTTATTTTCACTATTTACTGCAATATATAAAAAATTTTATTAAAATATCATATTTATTAGTAGGCCATGGTTGATAACAAAAGAAAATAAAGAATTATTAAAAGTATACTGCTATCTGTCTCTTGTTTTATTTTAGGGGCTACTAATAATTTTTTTATATATTAGGAAAACTTGACTCTCTATCTCTATTTGTAAATCTTGGTTATCGTACCGGAACTTTTTGATATTCCTTTAGGTAATTTACGTGAAATGTACTTTTAGCAAGATGGGGCTTTTCATAACAACTTTGAAAATATTATAATTTTGTTAAATTATTATTTCTGATATCAATGAGTTGGAACCAATGCAATGGGCTCATATGATGGCCTCCTTGATTCCCGGATTTGTCCGGTCTCGATTTCTGATTTTGGGGATTTTTAAAATATGAAATATATCGTGGCAACTACAACAATGTCTAACACCTGGAAAATGTTTTAATAATGCAACTTTTAGATATTTGCAAACCCGTTATAATAAATTCCGTTATAAAGAAAAATATATTCAGAGATTCAGTGGTAACAGTTCAAAAGTAAAATATATCAATCCCAAATAAAATTTTAATGTGTGTATGACTATTTTAGTAAATACCATTTTAATTTTTATTTTATTTATCACGGCCTACTAATAAAAAAATAATATATTTTAAATATTGAAGTAAAGAGTGAAAATAAATATAGAGTGATATATATTTTTGAGAAGCTCATGGCAAGACGGATCATATGTTTTATAAATATACAGGGTGCTCCGTTTGAAAAAACATAACTTTACTTTATATTTTCAAAAATTATTTTTCTGTAGAAAAACAGACTACGCCACTGTATTCTACGTAAAACCACGGCATATAAATCACACGGCAGGCTAACTCTGCCCAGATCCCATTGTTTAAAACTTCTATAAAATTTGACCTTGAAATCACCATTATGGGTGCCGAGTCAGGGCCGGATTAAAACGTATTAAAAATTTCCCAGAAAATAAACTATTGATTAGACAGGGTCGTATTAAAAAAATACTGTAATTGACTGAAACTGAATTTTATTTACACAATACTTTTATCTAAACAAATGAATCGTTAACTGCGCATACTCCTCGAAAAGTAAAAATGAAAAAATCAATTAAACATTTAACTGTAGAGAATAGAAAATTAAAGTTAAAAAACATGCCAGGAGTTACAAACAAGAATTAAAGAAATACGCAATAAAATATCTATTGAACAACAGAGGCTATGTACAAATTATGTCCATCAATGGACATAGCAAATTTTGTTAATATTCAAATTGCACAAATTAACAAATCAGCTAAAGGAAGAAAAGTAACTGATGAATTTAAATATAAATGTTTGGCTATAGACTTTTCCGGGCCAAAAATATACAAGACGTTCTTGACAAATCTATTTTGCCTTCCACGTCCAGAGACCCAGAGACACTAAGATAATGAATATATGACATCGATATCAAACCTGGCTTAGAAATTCTTAGTGTATTTGAGACTCTGAAAAAGAAAAGTTGAAAGTTTCGATGAACCGGATGAACTTAATCGATATTGTGTTCTATGTATTGATGATATAATATGAATATCAAGTGCAATTTATTTTATAATAGTGGTTGTGATAATATTGTAGGTTTTGAGGACCAGAAGGGGAACAGAGAGTTTAAACCAGCTCGGGTGTCTAATGTTGTTATGGTAACAGGTATCTTTACCAATGGGAAGCAGTCCCTAGCTTATTTTACACGTTTTTATTTAACTTGCTTTGTATGTATGTTTGTTCGGGGCAAATATTGTAAGCTAAATTAGAAGAACTTCCTTTCATTGTAGGAAATTGAAATTTGGCATGTAGGTTCAGTCCCGATGACAATACATTTTCTTGCAAGGCTTGACCCGAATTTATGACAGCTGTCAAAAAAATTTCAAAGTTGTCCCATTTTTATAAAAATCTATATATAGGATGGCCATGGATTAAAATGAAAGAAAAAAATTGAGCTGTCAAATTTGACAGCTGTCAAAAAAATCTCAAAGTTGTCCGATTTTAATAAAAATCGATATATTGGATGCTCCCTACCCCATAGTCGGTATTCATTTTATTTGTCTCAAGCCCCGTTCTCAGAACTGCGACTGTCGCCAGCGACACGACAAAAGAACCAATCAGATTTGTACAAAATTCAAACAGCTGTCAATTTTAAATTTAGTACAGCTCCCATTGGTTGTTTGAAGTGTCAATCAGTGTCGCTGTCGACACGACGCAGTTCTGAGAACGGGGCTTCACATTTGAACTGTCAAATTTGACAGCTGCCGTTTTTTTTAAGTTCTTCTTTTTTAATGAAAATCGATATACATATTATTAGGATGCCCATAGGAAGTTATTTAAGAAAAAAAATTGAGTTTAAGTGTGTGGCACTGAGAAACCAGCATAACTAAAAAGTAAAAAATAAATTTAAGAAAAAATAAACTTTTTCTTTAAAACTTTTATTATGAACTTATAATGTCATTACACAATTTTAAGCTTGTCGCGAGATTTGAGTGTACAGTTGCACTCATAAAAATCTGGTACGACAACTTTATCTTGTAATTCCAATATCTTGTAAACCTATCATTATTCCCATCCAGGATAAATTCATCCAGTTTAGAAGAACATTTAAAAAACTTTGTATCCGAATATTACACACTGGTACTGAAAATTGCCAAAATGATCCGGCAAACATCTTATTAAAAACGGCAGACCTTATTATAAAAAACAACGAGACCTCTGTTCTTTTCTCTCTGAATTGTCATGAGCTATCCATAAAAATTAAAAATAGATACGAATAATCAGAAAAACAGTAATTTAGAAGTGAATCTTGTTTGTCATTTTGCAAGATACCTAATAATAAAAATTACTTTGAATGCCGTAGTAGAGTATTAAAACTAAAAGAATTTCTGACTTCCATTGTACTACTAAACTACAAAAATCAAATATATCATACAATAAACAAAATATATCACTCAAGAAAAGAATGAAATAAATTAAGCCGCACGCTACTGACTCAAAGCTGCCGTAACTGTATGTTGTCGATGACAAATACTACGACTGACTACGACACTGGTTAATTTCTGTTGCTGGCACCCATAATGGCGGCGTGCGCAAGGATATGCGCGTAGCGTTCCCGCCAAGGCGAGTTGGCCTGCCGTGTGATTTATATGCCGTGGTAAAACGTTCTACAAGAATCAGTTTTTACCTTCTCGATATCATCCACAATAACGAAGATACGGGGGCTGTCCCAAATTGCAAAATTTTCAAAAAGACCCTGTAGCTCAGAAACGAAGGGCTCTATGAAAATTTTGTTTACGGCATCATCCGTTTGACAAAAAAGTGGTACAGGTTTGTGCAAACCGCACCCTTCTAACTTCACTAATAACTGAGATACCCTATGATTTCAACTAAAATGGGACACCCTGTACAAAAATCACGCTTTCGATTGGCATATTAAAAGTTGCAAAAAGTTTAGTGGGGGGCTACCGACATTTTTTAAAATCGCCTTATCTCTTTTAGGGTAGCTGTGCAAAAATTTGAATTGCGTGTGCAAAATTGTGCACAAATCAAGCTTTCGATTGGCGTATTAAAAGTTAACTGAGAATTTAGTGGGGTAGTACCATTTTCTCTAAGCCCTATATCTTCTAAATGGGAGTTGTGCAAAAATCGGCATAGGCTGTGGAAAATTGTGCAAAAATCATGTTTCGAATTTACATAATGAAAGCTTTGAAAAAATTAGTGGGGGAAAGTTTACGTTAAGTTGGCCCCCACTAACACATGTTAATAAGCATATGCGACCCATGTGAAACTGTTCATATAAACTCATGTTACTTGCTCGTGGTCCGGTCCATCTGAGAGCGCTGTTAAGTTACCATATATAAATATACGGGGTTTCCCAATATTCCGTGAACATAGAACTACTACGTATTTTTGGGATTAAAATAAGTTCATTAGACACAATTTACCTCTATATAAAAGTGCTTCGTTTGTCCGTTAGAGGGCATCAAACTTAAAAATAAATAAATGCATTTTTTCAGATATTTTAAGAACCGTTATACCAAATTTGAATGAGATTTTGGGTGTCTATATGTTAAGTGCTCTAGCATTTGACTTTGACAAAAATCAATAAAAATATTTTATGTTCTCTTCGTAAAATAATCCCTCTAGTATTTACTACATTTTTTGTCTTTTGTAAAAAAACACCACGGTGCATAGTTTTTGAGGGAAAAAATATTTTTGGAGAAAAAAATATTTTATTCTATGGAGGCGCATAAAATGAACTATGCTCTAATAATCTAGTTGGCGAATTTTATGTTACTATTACAAATTATATTTGACAATAAGCTTTGGAACACTTTGTATATTATTACATTTTTGGCTTCCTTTCTGATCACTTTACATAATCATAAGATATTTTTAAATTAGTTTTCATAGTTTCAGAGATATTATTAAATAAATAAATAAAAAATTTCAGCCTTAAAAAAATTATTAAAAATACAAGAATTGTCCTGAAATCAAAACTATATTAGGTATTTACTTTAGATGGTCTGTACTTACTTTGCTATAAATATCGTAATCTTAAATCATACAGGGTGTTCAAAATTCTACGCCAAACTTTCTAAAATATAAAATATTTTTTCTTCGTTATTTAAATGGAACACCCTGTATATAATTCCTTTAATAGATGGAGAATTAAAAAATAAACCTTTTTGGTATTTAGAGTATTTCAACATTTAGAGTATTTCAACGGCTTCGCAGATACTCGTGGGATTATTTTATGCGGCTCTTTCAATGGTAAAATACGAGTGAATAATCATTGGGTGGCTTTGA